TATAAAAATAAATGATAAACATTCTTTAAGTAATAGCTAAAAAATGTTATGATATGTCTACATAAATAAGAGCATACTCTTATGAGCATGCTGTTGGGCAAAATTGGCACTATAGTTTTCTCCAAAAAGACCTAGTACCTAATGAACCATAAAATACCATAATAGTATCTAAAAATCTCAATTTTTAAAAAAGCTTTTATACGAGGTCTGTTCAAAAAGTATCGGACTTTTATTTTTTCTGCGTAAACCAATGATGCGTGGGAGGCCTCTTTCGGTGGAGTTGTGGAGGAAAAAGTCATGCATAACCCTGAATTTTTTCCTGCCTGCAGGAAGTGCCAGTCGTTGGCAGTCGGCCTATGAGTGAGGACAGATAGTGAGCTCTTGTCAGATTTCACTAAGTTGGAAAATGACTGAACAACATGAGCAGCGATATTACATCAAATTTTGCCAAAAGTCTTGGTGATACCCAAGTGTAAACCATTCGCAAAATTCAGCAGGCTTTCGGGGATGATCCTCGAGGCCAAAAAAAGCGCAGCAGGTCCGCAGCGATATCAAGGTCATGCTGACAGTTTTTTCGACTCTCGTGGGGTGGTGTATCGTGAGTACGCACCACAAGGCCAAACCATCGCAAAGGGGTACTACCAAGAGGTCCTTCGTTGTCTTTCCGATGCTGTGCGACTCGAATGACCGGATCTGTGGTCGATCAAAACTTGGTAGCTCCATCGTGATAACGCATCCGCCCGTTTTGTGCGTCTGATTTGGGCTTTCGTCGCCAAACACAACACTCCTGTGGTTCGTCACGCTCCGTACTCTCCCCACATGGCTCCGTGTAACCTTTGGCTATTTTCCAAGCTGAAAATGCCGCTAAAAGGAATCTGATTTTAGTCGAGAGAAGACATCGTGCAGAATGCGACAGACCGGCTGATGGCCATTCCAAAAGATGCGTTCCAGCAGTGTTTCCAGCAATGGCAGGAATGCTAGGAGAAGTGTATACACTACCAAGGAGACTACTTTGAAGGGGATTAGGGTTTTGTACCTCATAATCAATAAATGTATTTTTGCCAACCAAAGGTCCGATACTTTTTGAACAGCCTTGTAGTATCAAAAGCATTTTTCTATTTTTAATAATGGTTACCACAGAGATGTCACTGAGTACTTATTGTATCTGTACATTTACATTTAATTTACATTGACACTTCAATGTAATGCTCTTATAAGCCAAAACAATCTGATGCACATAAGAGTATGCTTTTATTTGTGCAGAAATACAGATATAAAATTAGTCTAGCTACTATGTCATTTAAAAACTTCTATTAAAAAATATAAACATAATTAGCATTATGTTATGGTAAATTATATAATTTACTTTTCATAAAAGAAATGATAAATTTTCCCTAATTAATTAACAGATAATCTATATAATAATAAATACATGCTTCTGATACCAGTTCAGGGGGCCTGTCTATGTCTAGAGGTTAAAGACACACATACTACCATATGACGGACATAGTCGCCTTGTAAAANTCTGGGCTTTGAGGTCTTAATTTACAGCTCCTGGGGCTTAGTTAACATAATTTTGTTTTTCTGTTTTCTGCCTCAAGTCACCATTATGTAACTGTAATTAAGCTGATATTTGCAACAAAAAAACATACAAACTAAACTTGACCAGTAAAAAGATGAGAAAAAACTATAAATTACTAGTTAGCGCATATTATTTTAGTAGCTAGTAGCCTATACTGAAAGTTATCAAATATGTTTGTACTTAGCAAGCTTCTAACCTGCAACTCCATAAGAAAAACTAATTGTGGCCCACTAGAAGTCTATGAAGTTTATTTGCAGCGCACATCCAGAAAAGGCTGCTTATCATTGCATTAGAATAGTGACATAACTACACATGTAAGTGAGAGGATGTAAAATTATTTCAGTTTTCCTGTGAGTCATTATATATTTTCATAAAGGGGATATTAATATCTTTTTTTATTTAATAAAAATAAACTATTTCTATTTATTTTTAGAATAAAAAGGTGTTTTTTTTATTAAAACAAGTATTTTTTAAATTTTTAAAATACTATTAACTTTTAATAAATGTTTGGTTTATTGAATGTATATACTTTTTGCTTTAGAAAATTTAAAAGAATAACAAATTTGTGTTCATTTTTGTATTCATATATTATTATAAAAATATGTGCTTTTCTTGAAAAGTTTTAACTTTTGGCAGAATTATTTACATAAATTGTATTATTCCAATTTTAATATCAAGTTCATTAAAATAAATTTTTGTTGAAGTAATTTTTGTATATTGTAAAAGTTTGCATAAATATTTTCCTTATCATTCATTGAATACACTTTTACTATTGATGTTTGTACTTCAATAGTAAAAGTGGGGCTTAGTTAACATAATTTTGTTTTTCTGTTTTCTGCCTCAAGTCACCATTATGTAACTGTAATTAAGCTGATATTTGCAACAAAAAAACATACAAACTAAACTTGACCAGTAAAAAGATGAGAAAATTCCATAATAATTAAAGAGTGACTAATTGTTAGAGCTCTTAAAAATATGAATAATCTAGACAAATTGCTTCCTAAGATAATATGTGAAAGTAGACTCACACAAAATAGTGTAAGTTAAATATTATTAATTTTATAAATCCATTATATAATTAAGTTATAGTTCTGTAAAACTATTTTTTTGTCTAAACTTGGATTTACTGAGATTCAACAGTATATACCAGGGGTGGGCAAGCAAGCGTTCAGTGGGAGCCGAATTGTAGGTTTTGCAAAATGCATGAAAGCTGCAGTTCTGTACTTTTTTATTCTGTATTGCGATTTTATTATATAATATAAATATAATATAAAACAAATATTGAATTTTTTAATAAACATATTTTCACAAAATTGTGGAAATAAAATTGTAAAAATAATAATAAAAAGCAGAAATTAACACTTTCACAAGTGCCGCATGTAACTCAAAAAGAGCTGTATTTTCCCATGTCTGGTATATACTGTTGAAAAATGTGGAGTACCATTATGCAATGTGGAAGTTGTATTAATATAATAAAATATATTTTTTATTATATTAATACAACTTCCACATTGCATACTTATTATCTAATACAGGGGTGTCCAACCTTTCTGTTTCTCTGAGCCACATTGGAAGATGTCATGGAGTTGTGTGCCACAAGTATATTATATATACTTGTGGCTCAATCCTTAAATATACAAGTATATTTAAGGATTACCATGTCTAGATTATAGTAATAAGTATTAAATCTTTATCACGAAAAAGGATATTTTAAAAAATTACTTCTACAGACACTTTCAATTTTTACTTAGAAATAGATAAATTCATTTATTATAAAGGAAACAAACAAAAATTTATTTGAAAAACACAAATATTTTGTTTTATTTGGGTCTCTAATTAATAAAAAATGACAAAACATCATTTTAAAGTGCATTTTTATTTGAGTAGTATATTTATAAATAATATGTAGCCCAAAAAGTAGCCAACGTGCCAAATGATATTTTCTATGCCAAACTAAGGGCGTAGTCAACTTTGGCGCAAAGTAACCAAATCATGCAACACTGAAAGGAATACTAAATAAAGCTGGAGTTGGGACTCAAAGGATTATAGACCCAAATGTGAGGAAAGGAGAGAAAGGACAAGAAGATAAAGAAGTGAAGAAGGTTGGAAAATTAAGGGTCTATATTTGCATAACAGAAAGTCTATTTAACCTTTCTCACTACTTTTTATCTTTTGATCTTTCTCTTCTTTCCCCGAATTTGGGTCTATAATTCTTTGAGTCTCAACTTTAGCTTTATTTAGTATTCATTCCTCATTAACACACTTCTAAGTACAGTAGAACCTCGATTATCCGGACTAATTGGGGATGAAGGTAGTCCGGATAAGGAAAATTCCGGATAATCGAAACAAATACTTTAATTTGTCTTTTGATGATAATACAACACGTTTTCTTTTCGATGACATATCGGTAATATTAAAAATAAATACTGTATTTAAATCGTGATCAAATTTTCAAGAAACAAATGTTTTATTGAATTTGGACTACTACTGACCAGCGCTAATAGACTAGCTATTGTTTAAAAGGCCCTCTGGCGACTCAAGAATACGGATTTTATAAAATAAAAAGCAGTCGAAACTGCATTTTTATGAATAAAATTTTGACAAACTATTTATCGTTTTATGACGAGTAAAATTTTTTCATCGCGTTCACGGCTTTTAAGTAATGCATAAACCTTCGAGGCGCGAGGCCCTTCGGACCGCGAGGCATAGGTGGTGGCCCACATTGCCCGTGTGCTGCCCTTGGTCATAGAAATGATGTAATTTGAGTATAAATTATTTATAAATACGTATGTCAAGTTATATTTTTATTACGATGCAAAATATATTTAAGAGTTTACGACCACTGTGCTGGGTGAGACGTTGTTGAAACAAAAAAAGTTATGCATTCCATCACGTACATAAACAGTGTCGTAATTTGCCAAGTGCAAATCAGCAAATTCGTAAAATTTTTGTTTATTTTCAACAATCCGGATAATCGAAAATCCGGATAATAGAGGTCCGGATAATCGAGGTTCTACTGTATTTGAAAACATTTCCTTTTCACCTAAAAATAAAATATGTTTAGAGGTTTATGACTTTGTGAAACTTCTTTTTTTTTTTTTGAGTTTATGCCATTGAAATAAATAAATAAATAAAATTAAATTAAAAAATTTGTTGGTTTTGTTTACACATTTATTGGGCCACATGCAGCCCACGGGTTGGACACCCCTGATCTAATACATCTAATATATATAATAATAATCTTTGGTTTAAAGTTTTCATTAAAGATTCGGATTTAAAATTTACAGAAACAAACACATTTTAAAAAATATTACAATTGTTTAAAACAAAAATTTTATTAATAAAACACTGGGAAAATTATTTATTTAATAATTTATTTTGAATTTTTAAAACTTATTTTTAATTGTATATTGTTTAGGAGAATCTCAGTCAAGTAATACAGCTTGGCACAGACGACAGGAATTATGCCAACTTTTAGAATTAGTTTTGTTAACTGATCTGGATTATGCTTTGGATAAGAAAGTTGAACAAGATCTTTGGAATTATGCTTTCAGAAATCCAATTTCAGCATTTCAAACAAAAGCCAAAGAACAGAAGGTATAACTTATTTTTTGTGTTAATTTTCAACATAATTTTTAAATTATCTATTGTTGTTATAGTATATTTTAAAATGTTTATTTGAATCTAAACTATTTAGATTGAAATTTGAATTAATAACTATTATTTTCCAAAATGTTTTCTGCCATTTTCAGGCACCATTTTCTTCATGAACTCTTTCCTTTGTGAATTTCATTAGAGTTTGAAACATCATTATTTTAGAGCATGTGCACCTAATGAAACTAGTGCACATGCTAGGAATTGTAGAAGCACTTGTTACTCATTTGATTTAACTTGTTTGACTTCACAAAATATTTTCTATTTACACATTACTATAATGACGTGGCTTTGCTTTTGTATTAAATTTACAAAGATCTAGCAATTCAACACAGTAATATGAGACAATTTACCATATGAAATATCTAAAAATAAATTAGCAAAAATCATTTCAAAATGATTTTGATTTTATAAATAATTGTTAAAAGTACAAGAACTAATATTACAGTAGAGCATCGATTATCCGACTCAATTGGGGACTCAGGTTGGTCTGATAACTGAAAAGAATGAAAAAAATACATTATTAGTATAGTATATTAGTATATCCCATATAATTAATATATTAGTATATCGCTATTAACCAACTTCGCGTTGAATTTTCATCAATGTTAAGCCTAACAAATTCTTTAAAAAAATAATAATCGTCGCTATTGTATCGTTAAAAATTATTTTTAAATTATTTTATTGCTCACAAAATGAACAACCACTCATAATTAGAAAATTAAGTCTCGTTTAAATACTGGCCTCCCTTCAGTGGTCGAGCCGTGTTGCCAGCTAAAACATGCAAAAATTTAACAAAAATAATATTAAAGTAGCCAAGACATAGCCAAATATTGTAGTGCCACATCACTAGCAGACATTTGAAATTTGCTGACTAGAACGGTCGGTTAACCGATGTGATGGTTAATCGGGAGTTGGATAATCGATGCTCTACTGTAGTTATAAAATGATAAGTGTAATTTTATAAGTTTTACAAATAATATTGTTAGTTTGATTTAACAGTTATATTTAAAATAATTATATAAAATTTTTATCACTGCAATTAACTCTAGTTGGGCTGCAATTTGAAAAAATTGTAGACCTATAAATTCCCACTGTCATTTGTCTGGCTGTCTGTTCTTCCTTATCTTGAGAACTGAGTTAGATAGATGAAAGTCAAGACCAGATATGAAAGCTTAGGGACAGGAGGGCCCGATTAACTGTATATGAACTTCCAGTTTGCACCAGAAGTCATGTTATTTCAATTCAAAAATTTTCCTCTGAAAGAAGTTAGATAAATACTGGCACAACTCTATTACTAGTAGGGAAGTATGATGTACAGGAGCAAGATACTACTAATGGTGGTGGACAGAGCCGGCCCTACCATAGGGCGAACGGAGCAGCCGCTCCAGGCGCAAAGTCCTAGGGGCTCCTCAGTGGTAAAGAAACTTAAAGGGTATAAATTAGGGGCAACCAAGGGGTGCCAAATTGGATCTCACTCCATCCTAAAACTTGCCTCAGGCCGGCACTGGTGGTGGAGAGCATATATTTTATATTAAATAAATTAAAAATGTGATTAAAAATTGCAGCCTGGCACTGTGAAAATGTCACAATAAATAATTACTCATTAAAGTTATAAAATAACTAATGATTAAAATATAAGTAATATGTAGTGTCAAGATTTTTTTTGGAATTATTTCTTCTATCTACTTATATAAGCCATTGATCCCACTGTTTGCATATCTGTCATCTCTCACAGAATGCCTAGAACATGCACTAGGGGTGTTCCTAACAATGATTTTCAGCTATTATTTAAATTAATAGTATATATTTTATTTATAACAGTATAATTTATTCATTAACAGTATATATTATTATTCTCTTGCATTAAACCTTTTTCAATGCCAGCTTATCTTCTTAATATAGTAAAGCTTGTTTAAACTGGAATTATATGGTTTCAAATTTTTTTACCATTTTGAACAAATTTTAGTGCTATTTTTTTTAAATCTTTAAACTATACTAGATAAATTTTACACAGTTACATTCATTTTTTAATAAAATCACTTGTGTATGTAAGAAACATTTTATTATTAAGTTTAATCTAAATTAATCCAAAATGATTCCAATTAAAGATTTTCATCTTTAGTTGGAATTATTTTGGATTAATTTAGATTAAACTGCAAGAATTGAGAACCATTTGATTCTAATGCGTTCCCACTTTTTTGTGCAGTATATTCAAATACTAAGAGTTTTCAGATATAATTCTTTTGGATCACATGAAAGCAAGAAAGCCAGTTTGAGAACCAAGAATCAGTATTTCACTCTGCCATTGGAAATTCTAATTGCATTAAAATGTATACAGAGACCAAATTATTCTGTAATTTGACTTCTCAAGGAATTTTAATTAATTATGAACTTCAATCTCTGTAATTACTAACAATATTAATCAAGTTGTTTTTGCCTATTAAGTACTAGTTACTTAGTAGCTACTCTGTAAACAAGTTACTAAGTAAATACCACTAAGTAAGGAAGAACAAGTTGATAACAAGTAAAATTGGAAGCACATTCATTGTTTATTCTTGAACTTGGCTCTCAGAAACTCATTTAAATTTTTGGAGGTTCTTGCTCTTAAAAGTCAATTGTACCATTGATTAATTTCAACAAAAATCTTGTGTCTATATGTCTCTTATCAAATGACCTTTATTTCTCTGAAAAGGTTAAGACTTATTCTTGGAATACAGCTTGTCATGTTTTCCAATGACTGTTATACCTGGAGTAATTTTACTTATTCATCCACAAGTGAAATCTATAATTTTTGTCCTTATTCAAGTTAAATTATGTTTTTCCTACTCAAAAACCTCTTCTATTTTTCCATGTAAGAAGTTTCTGACTTGTAGTAAAATTTAATGTAGAAAATTGCTGTGTTGTGAAATTTTCTTTGTTTAGGCAGGTTTCCATTTTAGACAGATGCTGTTTTAGACAGGTATTACTATAATATTTAATGTAAGTTTCTTGAGGATAATTTTTTATTAATTAAAATAGAAAAAAATGAAATAATTCTTTTCATATATGAGATACTGAAAAGTTTGACTTATCCTATTATCCTACAAGAAAAGACAAATTTGAAAAACTGAAAGTAAAAATTGGGAGGTCACAATTTTGTTCACCTTCTTTGAAGCTTAATAACTCCTTTATTTTTAGTTCAAAATTTCTGAAATTTTTCAGGAAGGTTTGTGTATTAGGGAATTGATGCTGTTAAATTTTGGTGATTAAAGGTTGACAGAATGGAGAGATAAAGGGAGGTTGTGTATCATATCTCAAGTAAGGTCGGGCTTAATGATGATTTTTCTCATTACTAGCATTTACAATTTTTTACAAAAACCCATTTCTACCCTCAAAATTAAGTTTTTGCTATTTTATAATAATTAAAAATATTAAAAGTTTTTAAAATATCATGATGTAATACAAATAAAATAAAATAACAGATGGTGCCACCAAATATTGCTGGGAAAGTTAAGCAACTCATTGCTGGATTTTTTTAATCTCTGAAAAAAAAAGAACTCTAGGTTGATCCACAGACTAGCTCTCTACAGCTCCAATGAACTCCTGATTGGAAAAAAATTCACTTCAAGTGTTTTTTAAAGCTGGGAATACATGATAATATGAGGAAGTGAAATCTGGTCAATAGACTCAATGGTCCAACAATTTGAACTCCAAATCCCTGACTTTTTGTATGGTTTGGAGGGCTATGTCTTGCAGAAAGAACACACCTTGATTTATTTATATACATTTTTCATTTGAACATCTCACAGTTCATCCAATAGAGAAATGTAATAAAAGGCATTGATTCCCTGGTTCTTTGACAGTTATTTTACTAAAATGACACCATAAAGTTATATAATTTATAATTATGTATAATCAGTAATTATAGTATTTCTTCTATTTAAAATGTGTATTTTATAGTTTGTGTGTATGTGTGTGTGTTAGATTACAGTTTATAACTTTAATACAGTGGATGAAGATGTAATAAGTTTTATTATTACAGTAGACCCCCTATAACACAGGTTCATATAATATGGATTTGTATAAAACAACGAAAAAATTTCAATTGTATTTGTATAAACACACTAAAAGAGACTCGTATAATATGGTAAAACGGCATTGCTGACTTGTATCGTGACAGGATTAGTCGAATCTAGACCAATAGCGGATATTGCACAAACCGTTGAGTTTAAACAAACAGCAGATCTACTAAAAACCATTTCTTATTCAATGGCCATAAAAATTATATTTATATTAATGATGTCTCCAAAGTTCAGTGAATTTTTCGCAGAAATATAATTTATCAGGAAACACATGCCAGCCGTTCGATGCACCACTCCACAACAAAAACAAGCTTGAGCAATGGTGTCGTCGAATGGTGTACACTTTGGTAAGTAATCATACATTTTTTGTTTATAGCATAGTTTATATGGATTATTCCCAAAAAATTATACATGTTTTTGAAATTTGAGTCAAATTAGTCTAGAATCGATTAATTTTATGGAAGTAAACCTTTCAAACAGCCGTAGTCCGTAAACTGCATACGTGCTGGGCTGTGATTGGCTCATGCATTTAAATGACTCATACAACATGGAATTCATAAAACACAGAATGTATTTACTGTGTTATTGGGGGTCTACTGTACATTAAAATATATACAATATACAGTGGTGCCTCCTATAACGTACTTAATCTGTTCCAGATGCATGTCCGTTAAGTGAAAAGTCTGTTATACGAAACGCGTATTCCCATATAAATACATGTTAAAACATATAATTCGTTCTGCAGCATAAAATAACCATAGTGTAGCATAAAAAAAAATGAAAATAGAGCAATCACCAATTATGCCGTGTAGTCAGATGTTGTGAGGAGGAGGTGGAGGAATACTTTCTTTACACATTCATACAGATACAGACTTTTTACACATTGCAGTAGGTCTCTTTTTATTGTTTTTTAATTGGAGTCAGATTTAGGAGAGGCTATCGGAGCTTGCAGGGTCAACTCCTCTTGTTCCATCCTTTGTTTTTTGCCTGCTAGCTTCTTAAAAAACATGTCCAAGGTGGTCTGTTTCTCTCTCTTCTTCAACACCTGTTGGAAATGACGGGCAAGGGTATCATTGTAGAGATCATTGATCCTGTTGGCCTCAGCTCTGTTTGGATAATGAGTGTTGGTAAACTCCTGAACCTCTCCCCATTTGACAAGGAAGTTTTTGTCAACTTTCACTCCTTCTGATGATTTCTTGCTTTGTTTCAATTGAAATCACCTTTCTGTTTTTTTAGAAGCCATGATTTGCACAACACTTGAATAAATGTAAATACCCTGCACTGAAGTGATGTACACGTAATAAACAAGGGAGCAAGCTGAATCCCAATGGGAGCTCTGTACTTCAGATATACTAATAATATATTCTAATAATACTAATATATTATAAAAATAGCAGATTGTCATTGGCAATGGCAAAAGAGTGAGAACATCATTCACACTTGTTCGTAGCTAGTTCGTTGCTCGAGTCACATAACAGCCAAACAGAAAGTCCATTGTTCGCAATGCCCGTTATTCGAGGCATATGTTATACGAGGCACCACTGTACTTATTTATGCTATTGAAAATTCAGCTTTAAGAAAAATATATATAATTTTAACAATGTAGAGTATTTTGTACTAATTTGATATAAATAATTTTTTTAATAGTTACTTCAAAAACTCTGTTGTGCATATGATATTGAACTTCCGTGCCATCCTAAAGATTCAACATTTGGACTTAGAGAAGGTATTACAAAAGTTTTTTTATTTAATAATTAAGCAAAAATAGGTTAATATTTATTTTTAAAAACATATATATGAAAATAATAATTTATAATTTTTGTTTTTTATAAATTATTTTTATATTATAAAATACAGTATATAATGATTTATATAGGATTGTGGAATGCATGTGTGTGCAAATATTATCTTACATTAAGATCAGTTATCCTGTAGAAGTACAGCAATCTTCCTAAAATTTTAATGCATAAATATGATCAATATAAATTTTTTGATTCATTTAAATTAAAATAAAATTTTAAAAATTATTTTCTAGAAATAATTCAATTAAAAAATTTCAACTATACAATGCAGAAAAAAAGAAAAAATTAGTAACAAAGTACTCAGTGCAATTTCTTTAATTTCTGGAGATGGAGTTAATTTTGTAATTATTAATCCTGTATGATCATATAAAATTTATTTGTCATTGTTATTTGTATTATAAGATCACATTATTTCAAAATCATGCAAAATAAGACCATATAAATTGTAATTTGCTTTGTGTTTTGTAGAATTTTATGTGCAATATGTTTTTTTTTCATTTTATTTATTCATTCTGTAATTAAGAAGTGTTTTAAAACAATATTAGCTATTACTTTATGGTTTCTTGATGAATGTATTTAGAGTTTGGCTTTCTGGTTTCTTCTCATGTACTAATTCTTAATTAATAAGAAGCAGAACAATCTAACATATTATTTTTTCATATTCAAAGATCATAGAGCATGACTTAAGATAATGAAAAGCTTCTTTATTCATTTATATGTAAGTTTGTGGCTTGGCAAAAGTTGAATACTAATGGAAAGTGATTCATCATTATCACCATCATTTTCCAACTGTAACAATACTTTATTACTCACTTCAAGCAGAGATTTAATCAAATTTTTAAAATTTTATTGAGGCCAAATATTGATGCTATCCAACACTATTTTTAATAGCTATAATAATTTATTATTGACAAAAGAGTCTCTGTTGTCAATAGCATTAAGAGCATAGTTTCTTCCATACTTCATTCTTGCATTGTAATGATATTTCATTCCTTATAGATTTGATATTCTCAAAGAGAACGTGCCATTTAGCTCTCTTATATGAGAGTTCTAAAACTCTCATATAACTAAAATGAGTGTCAAAATATAAAATTGTGTAAAACAAATTTGATTAAAAAGGGAACTTTCTCTATTCATATGTTGGAACAGCACTTGAATATTAACAACATATGAAAATAAACAATAAATAAATAAAGAAAAAAGTAAAACTAGTAAATAGACACAAAAATTAATATTAAAAAATAAATATAAAGCTAATTCAAATGAATAACATGGATAAAAGAAATAAAAACAAAATATTAAAATGAATGTCCAAAAATTAATCATCAAAAGCTATTTAATAGCAAGTATCAAGCATTGAATAGTGTGTCTGTCTTCATGCTTAATACATTTTTTTTTCTGTTCATAGATTTTCAGTATTTTTCCAATCTTGGTTAAATCAAGATTCTTGACATCTACTAATTTAGGTATCATTTGTTATGAGACATGTTCAAGAAAGCATTGTGTTATGAAATGATGATCAAATTGTTAGACATGTCAGTTATCTTGGTTTGGACAAGGTCAGGAAAACATTGAAATTTATAAACACAAAGAAGGAATGTTTTAAACATCAAGACTACACAATGCTTAGAGATTGGCTCTTAAATATTTTTATATTTTCAGAAATGTATGTCAGGTTTTTTTTTATTATAGAACTGCTCTCTACTGGTCTGTCTAAATGAAATCTATAAATCTAACATCTTATGTGAAATTCTAGAATTAAAGGGATATATTATTAGATTTGATTTGTATATTAATTTGTTTTTAATACTAGTAATTAATTAGTAATATTTTAATATGTTACATACTTTTTGTAACAATATTACAACAATCATTTCAATCATTTCTTGTTTACAGTAGTATTATGTTCATTCATTGATGAAAATATTTTAATTATTTTAATATTGTTTTTCATTATTGATTCTGTTTGAAAAAAATATTAAACTCTTTTTAGATAATAGAATTTTATTAAAAAATTAAGCAAGTAGTAGTTATCAAAAATTAAGTAAAAAGTTTTTGCAGAATGGAAAAAAAAGCAACCAGTCTTATCAAATCCTAGAAAGTCTTCAATTCTTTACATCTGTCAGCATTGCTTGGTGCATCTTGGAGATATTGGTAAATATTAACAAATTTTTATTTTAATAAAATACAATAATCATATAATTTACTCTACAAAAATATTTACTAGCACGATATCGAGGACAGTCTTTACAAGCAGAGACGTTTTATCGGCATGCGGTAGAACTTGTACCAAGTAATGGTAAGTACTAATTTAGTCTTTAATCATTAAATAATAGTAATAATAATAGTTTAATCATTTTAAATAAAAATAATATATTATATTATGGCAATTATTGCAATAAATTATTTTAGGGATTTATTAAATATTAATATTTAGTGGTATAATATGAAAGAAAGAATAATAATAAAATTTGGAGATGACCTATGAATATACTACTGAACCTTGATTATCCGGATCTCTATTATCCAGATTTTCGATTATTAGGATTGTTCAAAATAAACAAAAATTTTACGAATTTGCTGATTTGCACTTGGCGAATTATGATACTGTTTATGTACATGATGGAATGCATAACTTTTTTTATTTCAACAACGTCTCACCCAGCACAGTGGTCGTAAACTCTTAAATATATTTTGCGTCGTAATAAAAATATAACTTGACATACATATTTATAAATAATTTATATTCAAATTACATCATTTCTATGACCAAGGGCAGTGCACGGGCAATGTGGGCCACCACCTATGCCTCGCGATCCGAAGGGCCTCACGCCTCGAAGGTTTATGCATTACTTAAAAGCCGCAAACACGACGAAAAAGTTTTGCTCGTCATAAAACGATAGTTTGTCAAATTTTTATTCATAAAAATTCAGTTTCAACTGCTTTTTATTTTATAAAATCCGTCTTCTTGCACTACCAAAGGGCCTTTTAAACAATAGATAGTCTGTTAGCACTGGTCAGAACTTATCAGAGAAAAAGCACACTAAGGCTGTTATCTCCATATGAACCAGGGGGAGACGAATAGAATAGAACGAATAGAATAGTGCTGGTCAGTAGTAGTCCAAATTCAATAGGAACGTTTGTTTCTTGAAAATTTGATTACGATTTAAATACAGTATTTATTTTTAATATTACTGATATGTCATCGAAAAGAAAATGTGTTGTATTATCATTAAAAGACAAATTAAAGTTTTCGATTATCCGAATTTTTCCTTATCCGGACTACCTTCATTCCCAATTAGTCTGGATAATCGAGGTCCTACTGTATTTGTATTCATGTCTATTCAGCCTTTAATATACTCATCACTAGTATGATTGATAGTTGCAATGAATTTTTTATTTATGAAATGTAAATTTACAAAGTTATTGGAAAAATATCTTTATAAATAATGTTCTTTGATAATTTTATAAGTGATATCATACGGTAAAGTTTGAGAAATGTAAAAAATGCTTAGTTCTGGGTTTCTGTTTTCTTTCTTATTCTTACCAGCAGAAACATTACATTTTAGTTGAAAGAAAAAGGTAGTTCCTTTCATAAATAATTGTTTTATTAATTAAATTCAGCATATTTATAAAGTAGTAGTATTTTTTTTTATTACTTTTTGTATTTATTATTGTCTGATTTTCTGAACATCTTTCAAAAATATTGCAATCTTTGTAGAATGAATTAAAGTAAAATTTTGTTTTTATTTCTATCTTATTTCAATTAGCATTTAATAAATTTTAGGAAACTTTGATATTAAAAATAAAGACATTATGAAAATTTTAATAATACTGGAAAATAATTTTCTATTTACAAAATTCTAAAAAAGTCACTTTAGTTAAAGATGTTCTAATCAATAAAATTAAAATGAATTAAGAACTGTTCATGTATTGCATTGGCAAAAATATGTTTTTCTTTGCCATCATCATCAATTATCAGAAATGAAGATATAACTTTCCTCCTAATTATGTCATTACACCAGAAGTTTAAATTATTCAAAAATACATAAATTATTTTCAAATAATTTTGTGATGACTAGGGAGAAAAAATACAGTAAATGATGGGTGTAATCTTATATCATCAAAGACTTGCCCGCTTCCTTCCATTGTCAGTGTCAGGTACAAATAAATCTGTTCACCCATTAGAGGAAAATAAATATAAAAATTAATGAATATTATTAACAAAAATTATTTATAATTTTAAAATAATTTAAAATTATATTTATGAATAATTTTAAAATGTTTGCTTAGAATATTCCATAATAATATATTGTATCTGTATTTAGAGTATCAGAAGTATATTTTATTCTGCATTTTATGATCTATTTTTTGTCCTAATTCTTTGGCATAATTATTTTATTTCTATTGATTTAATTTCAATATATATCAGATTATAATTGTGTTTGTATTTATTCATTTATCATTATTTATTTGTATTCCAATAGTCAGTTTTAATCTGTGCACAAAATGGATAAATAAATAAATTATAATTATCCAGTTGATGATATAATTTTGTCATTAATTAAATTTCGAATTTTATTTGAAGGTATTACCATATTCCCATCAGAGGCATAGCTACTGTGGAGCAGTTGGAGCAAATTGCTCCAGGTGCACAAATTATGATGGTGCCAAGTTAAAAAGGGCAAAATAAAAACTTGTAAAAACATTTGTAAAAAAAATGTTTGCATTTAATAATTAATCAATTAACTGTTAAATTTGAATCCATATTCGACAATTTTGTACACTTTTTAAATGATTATCATTTAAAAAGTGTATACTTGCATATCTTGTCGCGTCATCTGATAAAAATATTCTGGAAAGTTCAGAACTTTTACAATCGGCATATCCCTCCGACATTTCGCCTAGTTTTAGACCTGAACTGCTTCGATTTCAAATGTATTTTATACTCAGGTAAAATAAATTACTTCTAAATGTGAAGTTGTTGAACTACTTTTAATTCACACTGCAGCCTCAAGTAGCTTCTCCGACATTATTGCAACACTTCTGTTTTTTTTTTTTTTAACTTTACCGGCGATAACAGCAAAAGCAGAACGAAGTTTTTCAAAACTAAAATTAATCAAAATTTATTTAAGAAGTAGCATGTCACAACACTGTCTTAGTTCCATTGGCTATATCAATTGAAAAAACAATAGCTTGTCAGCTTGATCTGGAGAAAGTGATTGACCAATTTGCAAACAAAAAAGTGAGTAAACAACAATCTTGAAGTTTTTTTATCTTCAAGATTGTTGTTTACTCGCTTTTTCGTTTGCAAATCGGTCAATCACATTATTATGTATTTGTTATGAAACTAAACTTGCATACATTTTGTCAATACAGTTTATATACTATGTAGTAAATATTATTAGGTACTCCGTACTTAAAGAATTATATTATATTTTATTATTATATATTTATCAAATTGAATATATTTTTGAAATGCCTGGAATCTCAAATAAATTATTAAGTAATGTTTTAAATCAAAATAATTAGATATATGTTTTTAAATTAAATGTTCAAAACAAATTTTGCGAGATCTCTTTCTAGGAACAAGGGGCGCACCCATTCTACTTGCTCCAGGGTGCTGAATATGTGGCTATGCCATTGATTCCCATATTATGGGAATACAGTAATTTCTTGGTTTTTGTTGACTTTGGTTATTATTGGTTTCAGTTTTTGTGAATTTTTTTATGTGAAAAATTTGTCTCAGTTTTTGTTGATTGCCTTGGATTTCGTCCGCATGCCCATGTGATCTTGCCGCTAATTTTGTGAAAACAAAGGATGACTCGTGTTTTCTGGCTCAGTGTGACGTTGTTTCTCGTTTTTTGTCTCAGTTTGGTGTTGTGAGCATTACCCTGCACGTCTAGCCAATTCCATTGCTTTTCCTTTCCTTTTAGCTCCATCATGGGACAAAAGAAAGTTTCCAGAGCCAGTAGCCTTCGAATGCCATGTTTAAATGTTCATTTATTCTTTATATTAGTTTTTTATGTTAATTTCTTATTGTTTTTAGTAAGGATAAACTGATTAATTGGTAAGTAATTGGTAATCAGCTATTTTAGCCATCTCTCTGATTAATCAGTACTGGCTTTTTTCCCCGATTAATTGGTTTTGATAATTGGCCAATTTTGCATTTTAATATTTTTCTTAGAATGTTATGTATAAGGCTAGTAATAAAAAAATTATACATTTCCGTTATATATTTATTATTTATTACATGACAAACTGAATATTAAAAAAAAATTTTCAACTCAAATTATTACTTTTATGAATATGTATATGTTATAAGGTATAGTATAACCTATTCAAAACTATCTTTTTTATTGAATATTTAAAGTTTAAACTTTAAACATATATAACAAATAAAAATTTAATATTCAAATTTTAAAACCCTTAAATTGTAATGCAAAAACATGATAATGGGGCATAGCCTATTTTTTGCCAGATCATAAATGTAATTTCCAGTGCTGAAAATTCTTTCACTTTCGATGGAAGATGCTGGGGCACTTAGATATTTTATAGCTATTTTGCTCAAATTATGAAAAAGTTCTTTTGAACTTCCACCACAGAAATGAATCACTATGTCTTTGTATAAGAGATAAATGTAAATATTCTTCTAATTCTTGATCGAAATGTTTGTTTGTTTGTTTCATTTTTTATTTCTTTTTAAAAATATACTTTTCTTCATTTTTTTATTTACCAGAAGCTAATTCATCAAATAAATTAGAAAAACTTAGAGATTGTATTCCATCTTGATCATTTCCAGAAGTAGAAGCTTCAGAATTTAATTTTTCTTGAGATTTTGGAACCAACATCATCTAAGCTATCAATTGTCCATGTTTTCATTTCCTCTACCATACTCTTCTTTTGAAATTTTATTTTGAATCTTTGATCTAATAAAGATGACAAGTATAAAGACTTGTTTTCTACATATGGTAAAAAATTTTTTTATTGAATCTTTTAGTCCACCTATTGTGGAATTAATTAATGCCACTAAGGAACTACTGTTCTTTGCTTTTGATAAAGATAATTTCAGAGTATCTATTGTGGGAATTATTGAAGATGAGGTGGTTTCTTGTTTGCTGGCTTCCACAGTAATTTTTTGAATGGTTTTAAAAGTAGAACAATTTTTTCAATGAGAGACCACTTATATTGTCTCAATGTAGGAATTTTCTTATATATAGCATACGTGACAAGGGCTTTTTGCTGTTCCAAGTTTCTTTGCAACGTGTAATATGTAGAATTCCAGCAAGTAGGAACATCTTGAATTAATTTGTGTTTCTGCAAACCTAACTTGTGTTCAAATTTTCCAATTTGATTACAGCTACAGCAGAATGATTAAAATGTGTGACATTATTTCTATTAACTGTGATTATAGTTTCTACATTTTGTTGAGAAAATATACAAAAATTCATTTAGTGTCAGCTGCAGTATAAAGCATGATAATGCCTCTAAATTGCAATTCCTGATTCCAGCTACCATATTTGCTGCAGAATCTGTCAGTCAGTACTAAGAATATCTTAGCACTTGTCAACGTATACTGATAAAGAACCACTTTATCTGTTCACTGATTTGTGTAGCTGTGTGGAACCTAAAAGGGAACAATTCGCAAAACAGCTTTTTCTTGCTGAAAATTATCCTTCAACCAGTGGGCTGTTACACTTAAAAAAGGAGAATTGTTTGTAGTTGCTGTCCAAATATCAGCAGTTAAAGAAATATATTTTGCATCATTAATAGCTTTGTGAATTTTTGATTGAACTTTTTGAAATATATCAGGGATGGTATTTTCTGCTGGGAATATTGTAATTAGGAAAAATTTCTTTTATTAATCTTTGAAATCCTAAATTAGACACAACAGAGTATGGCTGTGTATCTACACTTATCATTTCTTCAATCAAATAATGAACTTCTTTGGATTGTTGATCATTTTTTCTTCTCTATTAATTGAATTAAAGTAGCTTGTCTTTGGATATGAGTTTCCATTGTTACTGATGAATGTCCAGCTTCTTTGGTTTCGAAACTTTTTCTTTTCATCTTTCCAGTTTCTTTTTAAAAGTTTTCATGATGATTTTTTTGAGATAATTTATCATGTTTGTGATGGTAAAAGTTTTAGCATTTTTTTCACCTCTGAGTATAGAAGCCATAAATTGCACTTGGAAAACTTCTTGTTTTTATCTTTCTTAAAAAATTTTCAAGCAATACTGGAAGCCAAGAAGGTTTTGAATTTGGCTATTAATTAAAATTAAAAAGTTTTTCAAAATAATAATTTATTATTTTAATTTAATACACAAATCTGAAAAAGAAAAAATAGCTTCATATTAAATACTAGCAGACCCAGCCATGCATTGCTGTGGCTCAAAATGTATCTATTATAAATGTATAACACTTCCCCCATGGGGAATTTTGAAAAATCTCTTCTTAGTATACATTCTGTTGATGAACCCTATTAAAATGCAATCAAAAATGCAAAAAACTGCATCTAAAATAGTATAATAGAAGCAGTTTTTCATGGTAAGTCTTAATCCTATCCATCTCCTCTGCAGGGGGGATTTTGACATTTAAATTATATAAAAACACATGCAAATTCGAATGCAACATTGTGTCAAAATTTCAAAACAATCAGTGAAGAACTTTTGGAGATTTAAGATTTTGAACAAATGAACATTACATTTTTATTTGTATAGATTAATTCCTCTTTAAACATCAAATTACCTTTAAAAATAATTCTATTTTTCTGATTAAAATGTATGCGGTAGTATCCTCGCTCTTACCACTTAGTTGGATTGCAAGAAAATGTCCTTAAGAGTTCATCTCCTGTAAGTTTAATGTCTCGAACCAAAGTTTTGTTCTCAGAAATATCTCTTGAACTATATGGCAATAATAAACAAAAAAATATGGAATTGTAAATACGATTTAATTAATTTTTAAACTTTTATAGCTAAGTATTTCATAATTTTCCAGGCGAAAAATATTTGTTTAAGAAAATATAAGACACAGACACACTAGTATGAAGTTAAAATTGTGTGTAGTGCCATCTCTTATGAGATTGCATTAAAAAATAACTTTTTTATTATTAACTCATGGGAGGGAATTTTGACATGTATTTTATATAAAAACACACCCATATTTGAATGGAACATTGTGTGAAAATTTCAAAGCATTCAGTGAAGAACTTTCAGAGATTAGCTATTAGGAACAAACAAACATTACATTTTTATTTATATAGATTATTTATATAACAAATTGTTATAAAATTATGTTTATCATATGAAATTTTATATTTTTATTAAGAATAATACAGTAGAGTGTCATTTATCCAAATCAATTCAGGACTGGGGTTGTTCAGATAACTTATTTTTTGGATAATCGATTATGTATGAAAAAATATATTAACCTGTCCCATGTTGAAATTTTTCTCCGTTGCGTGTCACTTTGCGTTGATTTTTCGTTGATGTTAAGCCTAATGTAAATTTTTATAATAATCATAATCATGGCTATTGTATCGTTAAAAATGATTTCTTTATTTTGTACAAACAAAATAAATATATTGAAAAAATAGAAATTATACTTTAGAAGTTAATCTAGTATCAAAAACGTTTGATTCAGCATGACCCACATCTGGACACAGTCATCAAAAAAACACCACACAAGAGTGCCAGTGCTGCCAGCTAAAATACACACACCAACAAAAAAAAATATTGGAGTAGCCCAAGACATAGCCAAAGGTCGCAGCACCACAGCACTAGTGAAAATTTGCCAACTGGAATGCTTTCGATCAACCGAAACGTTGCTTAACCAGTTGGCTTTCATATAAACGATACTCTACTGTAATGAGATAATAATCATAATATTATTTAACTATGAACACAATAAATTATTAACACTAATAGGCTGATTAATCAGTATCGACCGATAATGCGTGGTCGATTAATCAGTAATCAGCCATTTCACTTATTGGTGCATCATTAGTTTTTAGTATTAAACACTATATTTATTCTCGATAAAATGTGTTTTTGGTATGAATTTTGGAGTGTCTAGAATGAATTAATTGGATTTACATTGATTCATATGGAAATAATTGCTTCAGTTTTTGGTCTTGGATTTCAGCGATTGTTTTCAGATGTATTATTGACAAAAACTGAGGTATCACTGTAATCTAAAATTATGATTATTAAACTGATGCATCAAATAGAAATGAATTTTATTTCATAAAATTTTCTTTCTTTGTGACATTTTTCTTTCCTCATTGCTTTCTTGAGTATTGAATGCCTTATCATAAAACAAAATATAATGTAGAAATTGATATTTGATATTAGAATTTTGATATTTTAGAATTCAAGACAGTTTAATCATATGAAAGAAATAATTTTGAAAATATGATTAATGCTGTTCTGATCACTCTAAATATACTCATATCAAGTTAGGTCATTATACTTTAAAAAAGTCTTCATTAAATGTAAATTTGTATAAATAAGAAATTTCATAATTGTAATAAAAGTATATAGAAAATATTACAAAATAATTTTTGAAAAGTTTTAAAATTAGGTTTTCAAACTTAAATATGATTTTCATTTTAGATTTTTCTGCAATAGTAGTTTCTTTTTCTTACAGGCCAACCGTACAATCAATTAGCTATTTTAGAAGCTGCCAGTGGAGAAAAGTTATCTACTGTATTCTTTTATGTAAGAAGTCTAGCTGTTCAACATCCTTTCCCTGCAGCAGCCACAAATTTACAGAAATTATTCTCTAAAATGCTTTCTGATGGGTTAGTATCATTTCAAAAGTTTCTTTTTAAGTTTTTACGAATTGTGTGTAATGTTCAGCTTATTTAAGTAAAATAAATAACAATATTTTATTTTATTTAAATAAAGTAAAATTATTAAACTAGCTATTTGCTATAAAAAATTATTGTTAAATTACAAATAATTAGGAGAAATAAAGAAGCAAATAAATTTATTAANTTGCCCAAGATAGCTCGAGCTTGGGGCTTAACATTAATGTTATATTATTTTTTATTATTGATATTTTTAGTTTAAAGCTCATAATTTAAAATATATTTTCATTTCCAGAAATTCATTTGAAGGAAAAGCAAGAATGTCTGCTTTTGAGTATATTACAGGATTTCTCCATTTTCATGCTGCAGTACATTTAGGCTCTGGTAATTATAATATTACTTTTCCTTATATTTCACAATCTTACATATAAATAAATTTTTTCAAGGTCAGCCATAACTTGAATTAGAAGGAAAGAGTTTAAATTACTGTATGTAAGGTTTTATATTTCTTATTAAAATAATATATTATAATTTATTAAAGAAAGTAATAAAATTGTAATATTTTGAATCTTTGATACATATATTTTTGATCTTCTTTACATAACATAAAATAAACTTTTATACTAATTAATATTAGCTGGCTGGGTTGCCAAGGCAATTGAGGTGTCAGCATACTGCTGTTGTGACCCAGGATTGAATTCAAACAGTCAAAAAATTTGAGGAATTTTTGGGGATGGTCATCCTAATATGTCATGCCCCATTTCTCATTCATTGTGAGCATGAAGATAATGTCTTTTTACTGTCCACAGGGCAGAAAGAGTTTAAAAAATTAATTGATGTTAACTAAATATAAATTGATCTATAAATGTTACTCACAAGTCAGTATAAAAACTAAACTGTGTTATTTATTTATTAGAAATACTGTAATAAGAATGAATTCAATTTTGTTGTTATGTAAAATCTCAGAAATGTATTAAAATTTTATTTATTGTAAGAGTAAATTAAAAGAAAATTATAATACCAATCTACTGTACATTATAAGAAAAAAAAATTATCCTGGAATGATGCTAGCTATTTGCTATAAAAAATTATTGTTAAATTACAAATAATTAGGAGAAATAAAGAAGCAAATAAATTTATTAATAAATGACTTATAAAATTTCTCAGCAAACAACATTTAATCGAATATGGTTTTTTATTTCATTATCACCTGCTTATAAAGTTCTTTGCTTAGTCACTATATTATGTAGGTAATTCATATGAGCAGATGGGACTTGTTCAAACAATATGGAAAATATATGGACCAGTGCCAACAATATATTGACTAGCACCAGTACTTATGAATAAAAAGAGACAAATTTGATTGGCCATCCTTGGGCCTCCTGGTAATTCAAAAAGTAAAAGCAATTCAGAAATTCTATTATTGCTATTGGAGGATGAAGTAAACTGGATATGATGTATATGAATATGTGTCATACAAGTTTTCTAAGGTAATAGCATTATCATTTCAACTGTTACCTTGGAAGGATGGATGTATCACTTGTCAGCTGCACATTGTAGGAACTGCATTTTGTAATCCACTTTTTGGAGGCAGAAGGCATAAAACCTATAGAAGTGCACTGAAGAATGTTAGCACAGTATGAAAGCAGCTGCATGTCTCAAAGTTTATCTGTAGATCAAATGGTTCAAGTTCAGAAGTATGAACATGATAGATGAGTTGGTGGTTGCCATCAACCTTGCATGTCAAATAGCTTGTTCATCAACAGCCTGGACTTCACTTTTACCAATTATCATTTATTTGGACCCCTAAAAGAAGCCTTACATGGTCAGATTTGATAGTGATAAAGGAGTAAAAGTAGTGGCACATGATTGGCTACATGCCCAGCTGCAAAACTCTGATGGAAACCACAAGCTTCTAGACCATTATAAGAATTGTGTAACAGTAATGTGGGAGTAAGTTGAAAAATAAATTGTTTAATTTGCATATTTGCATGAACTTGTATAGTACCCAAGTTCAAATAAAATTACTTTTAGTTTTTGAATTATCTTTGTATTTGAAATAAATGACATTAGTTCTCCTAACCAAAATTTTAATTTACAATAATCTTTCTATTAATAACTAAAAATAAAAAATAATCAGAAGTCACTCAATATCAATTTGAAGTTATTTTCTGAAGCATTTTTATACTGGTAAGTTCATTAGCTGGAATGGCAGGGAGGAGAGCCAGTATGGCAAGAGTGAAATTGAGAATATTTTTTATTCTAGTTATTTCAAATGAAATTAAACACACAGATGCAATAGGACTAATCCATATTAAATAAGCTTTAAAACTATATATAAAATGTAAATGTACTGTAATTCAGACACAAGTACCTTAACAAATTAGAAATAGATTTTGCTTTAATATATTCTGTATATATAGATTATTATGATATATAAACTCTACTATCTCTCATGGTAAAGTTAGTTCAATAATTTCACCATGAGAGATAGTAGATAATATCACCAATAGTTCAATTAATTATTTGACTTAGNAATCATTTTAAATAAAAATAATATATTATATTATGGCAATTATTGCAATAAATTATTTTAGGGATTTATTAAATATTAATATTTAGTGGTATAATATGAAAGAAAGAATAATAATAAAATTTGGAGATGACCTATGAATATACTACTGAACCTTGATTATCCGGATCTCTATTATCCAGATTTTCGATTATTCGGATTGTTCAAAATAAACAAAAATTTTACGAATTTGCTGATTTGCACTTGGCGAATTATGATACTGTTTATGTACATGATGGAATGCATAACTTTTTTTATTTCAACAACGTCTCACCCAGCACAGTGGTCGTAAACTCTTAAATATATTTTGCGTCGTAATAAAAATATAACTTGACATACATATTTATAAATAATTTATATTCAAATTACATCATTTCTATGACCAAGGGCAGTGCACGGGCAATGTGGGCCACCACCTATGCCTCGCGATCCGAAGGGCCTCACGCCTCGAAGGTTTATGCATTACTTAAAAGCCGCAAACACGACGAAAAAGTTTTGCTCGTCATAAAACGATAGTTTGTCAAATTTTTATTCATAAAAATTCAGTTTCAACTGCTTTTTATTTTATAAAATCCGTCTTCTTGCACTACCAAAGGGCCTTTTAAACAATAGATAGTCTGTTAGCACTGGTCAGAACTTATCAGAGAAAAGGCACACTAAGGCTGTTATCTCCATATGAACCAGGGGGAGACGAATAGAATAGAACGAATAGAATAGTGCTGGTCAGTAGTAGTCCAAATTCAATAGGAACGTTTGTTTCTTGAAAATTTGATTATGATTTAAATACAGTATTTATTTTTAATATTACTGATATGTCATCGAAAAGAAAATGCGTTGTATTATCATTAAAAGACAAATTAAAGTTTTCGATTATCCGAATTTTTCCTTATCCGGACTACCTTCATTCCCAATTAGTCTGGATAATCGAGGTCCTACTGTATTTGTATTCATGTCTATTCAGCCTTTAATATACTCATCACTAGTATGATTGATAGTTGCAATGAATTTTTTATTTATGAAATGTAAATTTACAAAGTTATTGGAAAAATATCTTTATAAATAATGTTCTTTGATAATTTTATAAGTGATATCATACGGTAAAGTTTGAGAAATGTAAAAAATGCTTAGTTCTGGGTTTCTGTTTTCTTTCTTATTCTTACCAGCAGAAACATTACATTTTAGTTGAAAGAAAAAGGTAGTTCCTTTCATAAATAATTGTTTTATTAATTAAATTCAGCATATTTATAAAGTAGTAGTATTTTTTTTTATTACTTTTTGTATTTATTATTGTCTGATTTTCTGAACATCTTTCAAAAATATTGCAATCTTTGTAGAATGAATTAAAGTAAAATTTTGTTTTTATTTCTATCTTATTTCAATTAGCATTTAATAAATTTTAGGAAACTTTGATATTAAAAATAAAGACATTATGAAAATTTTAATAATACTGGAAAATAATTTTCTATTTACAAAATTCTAAAAAAGTCACTTTAGTTAAAGATGTTCTAATCAATAAAATTAAAATGAATTAAGAACTGTTCATGTATTGCATTGGCAAAAATATGTTTTTCTTTGCCATCATCATCAATTATCAGAAATGAAGATATAACTTTCCTCCTAATTATGTCATTACACCAGAAGTTTAAATTATTCAAAAATACATAAATTATTTTCAAATAATTTTGTGATGACTAGGGAGAAAAAATACAGTAAATGATGGGTGTAATCTTATATCATCAAAGACTTGCCCGCTTCCTTCCATTGTCAGTGTCAGGTACAAATAAATCTGTTCACCCATTAGAGGAAAATAAATATAAAAATTAATGAATATTATTAACAAAAATTATTTATAATTTTAAAATAATTTAAAATTATATTTATGAATAATTTTAAAATGTTTGCTTAGAATATTCCATAATAATATATTGTATCTGTATTTAGAGTATCAGAAGTATATTTTATTCTGCATTTTATGATCTATTTTTTGTCCTAATTCTTTGGCATAATTATTTTATTTCTATTGATTTAATTTCAATATATATCAGATTATAATTGTGTTTGTATTTATTCATTTATCATTATTTATTTGTATTCCAATAGTCAGTTTTAATCTGTGCACAAAATGGATAAATAAATAAATTATAATTATCCAGTTGATGATATAATTTTGTCATTAATTAAATTTCGAATTTTATTTGAAGGTATTACCATATTCCCATCAGAGGCATAGCTACTGTGGAGCAGTTGGAGCAAATTGCTCCAGGTGCACAAATTATGATGGTGCCAAGTTAAAAAGGGCAAAATAAAAACTTGTAAAAACATTTGTAAAAAAAATGTTTGCATTTAATAATTAATCAATTAACTGTTAAATTTGAATCCATATTCGACAATTTTGTACACTTTTTAAATGATTATCATTTAAAAAGTGTATACTTGCATATCTTGTCGCGTCATCTGATAAAAATATTCTGGAAAGTTCAGAACTTTTACAATCGGCATATCCCTCCGACATTTCGCCTAGTTTTAGACCTGAACTGCTTCGATTTCAAATGTATTTTATACTCAGGTAAAATAAATTACTTCTAAATGTGAAGTTGTTGAACTACTTTTAATTCACACTGCAGCCTCAAGTAGCTTCTCCGACATTATTGCAACACTTCTGTTTTTTTTTTTTTAACTTTACCGGCGATAACAGCAAAAGCAGAACGAAGTTTTTCAAAACTAAAATTAATCAAAATTTATTTAAGAAGTAGCATGTCACAACACTGTCTTAGTTCCATTGGCTATATCAATTGAAAAAACAATAGCTTGT